TTTTCAACTGTTTAAATCCAACCCAAAGTCTAAGTTTATGGTCCAGATCAAACTCCACCTTCACTATAAGCGCAAATTGTATTCCTGTAAGTATAAATTCTTTGAACTTCTCTGTATTGCTCTATAGCTAAGTCTTGTGGTAGAATGGATTAAGTGTTGGAGTACTAACTAAAAGGCCAACAGTTCAAGCCTCCTAACTACTCTGTAAGGGAACAAAAGGGCAGTTTGCTCCTGTGGAGACTTATGGCCTCAGAAACCTGGTGGACAGTCTACCCTATCTGTAGGGTTAGAATGAGGCTCTATCAACTTGATAGAATGGGTATTGTTTGGGTATCTCTTTTGGAATTCCTATCATTGCTTCCTTATATGTTAGTTATCCACGTCAGTATCTTTTCTCCACAAATGGAATCTATTTCTTAAGAAGAGAAACTACCTATAGTTCTCTGGATCTCTTAAAGTATCACCTTTGTTGTTGTCAGGTGCTATTAAGTTGAGTACAACTCATAGCAACCCTATGAACACCAGATCTGAGACCCGTCCTGCCTTGTGCCATCATCTCTTAGTATTGGCTAATTGAATGAATGAATGAATGAATGAATGATGAAAAGTATTCAAGAATAATAGAGTAAATTCAACTAAGATGGTATAAGGCAAGAGAACATCCTGAACATAAAGGTAAAGTATGAAGAAGGAGCACAAAGCATTGGAGCAAATGCCAAAACTTTGACCCAGTAAGGTACCAACTTCTGGAGCTACCAGACTCCACTTAATGTGCTTTCAAGGAATCTATTCTGAAAGAAAAGTCTGTGTAGCCTTCATACTGTTAGCTAGAATCTTTATGTAGCAATTCACTTAGGAGAAAGGCACCCTGTACCCTAACACAGATCTTCCACACTTGAAACGTACTGTAGATAGACAAGGGTCAGGGTGGGGGAAGGCAAGAGAAATGACTTCTGTAGATTGCAAAAGTCATCAACAATTTGGTGATAAGGAAAATATTCATGTGTCATATCAAAGACATTTTTAAAACATTCAAAACTTGTTTAACGTATGGCCTATCATTATTCATTAAAATTTACAGATTTTTACCTTTTGAGTGACTCATAACGTCTATCTCTTCTGTTTCCACAGTCACCACTCTGGTTCAGGATTACACATCTCACTTGGCTTACTGCTACAATAGTTTTCCCCAAGGGCATTCTCCAACACTTTTTTCTTTCCCATCCAATTTTTCCTCTTAACCAATGCCAGAGAAATCTTATGAAGACCTACTGGACTATGCCACTTTCCTTCTTGAGGGCTTCCTTTTCTTTGCTGGAAGGGCAAGTCTAAACTCCTTCAAGAGGCTGGGCTGGTCTTTTCTAACTGAATTCTGGCCTCCCTTTCAGCCCAATCCCTGCACTCTCCATGGATCACTGCGTCTCCCTAGTTATGTGTCTTCTTGCTGGTTCCTTGGCCTGAAATAATCCTCCCTGCTCTGCCCTTCTTTATGACTGTTACTCATCCTTCAAAGCACCCAAATGGTTACACCCACCTTTTCCTCCCCATTGATCTAATCACAGAATTAAGCCTAAACAAATGCAATGCTGAAAAAATAATTTCTTTAATTAATTAACAACTAAATTTTAATTCCATGACCTTAAACTTCAGAGTGAGATGGATTGACACAGTTACTACAGCAATGGGCTCAAGGATATCAGACATGCTGAGGATGGTGCAGGATAGGACAGAGTTCAGACCTGTGGTTCATAGGTTGTTTGTTATGAGGTGAACTGGACTTGATGGACAACAACAACAACTCTTAGAAGAAAAAGCCAATCTCTGTCCTTTTCTTAAAATTTTTGCATAATAATTTTGAACTATTAGAAATGAATGCTGGGTACACTCACTTGACTATAGCTAGTTAATAGGAAAATGGAATTCTTCCTGAAAAACAGGATAATTTGCACTTGAATTTATTTCAAAAACACCTTGCAAAAGACACCCAGTGAGGTATTTCTCTAATTGCATGCACTTAAAATTATGGCATTTACCAGTTGAAGAAAAGATTAGAAATGCCTACTCTGAGAGCTCTAATAACTTTCAATTTGTAACAAGATGTTCCAACAACAAAAGCTTTATTCTAACAAATTCATGTGTCTCTCTATGCAGTACAGCCTCAAGATAGCGTTCTTATTTTGACACATGAATAAAAAGGGATGTGGCATTTTATAATTGTAAAAGCAAAGTGAACAATCCAATCAGCAACCTTTTCTACCTCAGATTCTTACCACTCTTCACGTAACTAGCTAAAGCTCAGGAAAAGAAGATGAAGCGGATAAAACCTTTAAAATTTTTTAGAGAAAATTTTAAAATGATGAAAGAGCTCTGTGAAGCTCCAAAGTTTACTCATTATTGTCATAGGAAGGGGAACTTGCAGACTTAATATTTACATTAAGTAAACGACAGTTTCCTCGGTTCCTCTTTGATCGCCGAGTTCTCATGAACAAGTTATGGAAAAGAAAGCAAGAACATAAAAACCAAAAATATCGCATCAGCCTCATGAGCACTGTGAACTTAAACACAAACCAAAGATACAGGGATAGTAAATGTTACCAAGATATAAAATAAAGAGCCTTAGTGGCACAGTTGTTAAGAGAGCAACTACTAATCAAAGGGTCAGTGGTTCTGACCCAACAGAACATGACAGGAGGCTTCCATAGGTGACACCTTGGAATCAACTCAATGACAGTGAGTTAAGATGCAAAAATATGAATACAATCTGTCAGGTGATTTTTGCCTCTAATCAACTGCTTTAAAAATGTATAAACATCTAGTATCTTCTATCATTCAAATTTGGCTGCAAAACTTGTACTATTCATGTTAAGTCTGAATTACCAGTGAGAAGTCCAGATTTCTATGGTTACACCTTTAGAGGCTAATAGATGCTCACACATCTGTTCTCTAGCCTGGTGGCCTAGTGGTAAGGAATTGTGCTACCAACTCCAATATGTATGGTTCAAATCTGCCAGATGGACCATGGGAGAAAGATGGACAATCTACCATGCAATTGACAGTTTCTAAAAACCCATCAGAGGGGCAACTCTGGTTCTGACTCCATGGCACATAATAAGATACACTAAAAACTCAAACTCATTGCCATCGAGCCAGAACTGACCCACAGCTGATCATCTCTTAGGTTTCTTGGGTGTTAACGACTTGGGAAGAAATTACTTATTTTTCTCTCACTCAGACTTAAACCACCAGACAAGAGCAGCCTCTGGATTTGTACTATAATTTCCTGTAGACCAGACTACTAGGGCTCCCTATATTCTCATTAGCTCAGACTATTTATAATATTTTTATAATATGTAATATAAGATAAAGACAATTCTGGTTTGTTTTTAATAAGCATATTGCTTAAGGCTCACGACTGCTAGCCTTGGTGATGAAGTGGTAACCTGTTATTTATCAGATTTTGAAAGATCTTGCTTTATCTCAAGCTGTCACTGGTGCACTGAATCTATGCAATCAACTGTAATCAACATCCTTCATGCTAAGGTCTATAGTTCAAGGAGGATGCACTTCCTTATCATCACTTGTTAAGACTCAACCTTATTCCAGAGATGTCAAACTGTAGAGGAAAGGTGCATTTTGGAAATCAGTAAGACCAAGTCTGGGAGAACTACCATTCTTCTAATGTAAATGAATCAAAGGAAATAAGGCTTTGAGAAATGCAAGTCACATAATTTAAAAAAAAAACCTCAACTATCCTGAGAACCATGCAGGGACTGAGTCAGTCTGTGATACAGTGACCTTTCAGTGCGCTTGTAAAGATTTCAGCAAGTCCTTAAAATTGCTAATAGTTCTCAGAAAAGGGAAGGCTCCTGAGACTTCCAACCATGCTGAAAGTCAATAGTCACCAGAGAAATAGTTCAATCACAGGCCTGGAAACTGCTTAATTATTCACCCCCTTGAGACACCAATTGTAACCATTTGATATCTCACTGTTAGAAATGTGCTGTGTTATTAAACTAAACAGCATGCCATCTTCAAACGTCTCACCTTGTCTCCTGCTCAGTAAAAATCTTGTCATTTATTTTGATGGATTTGGAGAAGGGGGAAAAAACCCAACCAAACCAAACCAAACTACCAATCTATTATGAAGCCATTTTTCTCCCCTTAGTAAGAACTGAGGAAAAAAATAATTCCAGTGGAAAATTTAGATCAGAGAAAGGCATATTTGTAAGGACCGAAGAACTTTTTCCCTTGCATGAATGGCTTTGAATAGTTCAGCGCTGAGAGTGAAGGCTTAAAAACAACAAAATACAAACAGACAACAACATGTTGCAGCAGAAAGTGGTCCCATTGTCTGCTCAGCATGATGGCAGCATTCTGAGTTACAAGGCTCGTTCTGAATATCGGCTTTCAGGAGAAACAGTGTCCCTTTCCTTCACTTTTAACTAAGTCCAAACAATACAACTCTTGTTGGAATACAAGCTTCCAAAAGTCACTGGGAAAACTCCCATCAGACCCTCCCTTATGGCAAGCCATGCACGATCTGTTCTGTTCTTATCTATTTCTAGTGACTTAGGATACATTTGTTTGGCAGTTAGATCCAATGCCATACCAAACATGAAACACACTGGATTTTTGTTTCCCAATTCATATTCTCCAAACTATCTGATGAGGGAAAAATCCCGAGGCCATATTTGAAAGTTATCAAATCAAGTTTATAAGCAGAGAAAGGTACTTCTGTTTCAATGTGTGCACACTTTATATATTTTATATGTGGTAAGGGTTCTCTTATAAATACAAATCCACTAGCATACCCACTGGCTGAGAGCTCCAAGCTGCTGCCATTTTTCATGCTTTAAAAATTCAAAACCAGTCAATCAATCAATCAATCAATAAACTCTGAAGAATGTAACATAAAATAGTCTTTTCCTCAAACACACAATCAGGCAGAAATGGTTTCTCTACCCCTTCAAAACTGCATCCCCAAGAGAAAAACAGCTTACCTGTTCAGATTTCTCCTGCTCTCTCTTATCCAACTGCAAAAGCTGACAGTTTTCTTTTGCCAACTTCTGGACCAGCTCAATTCGTCCGATATCATCTCTCTCTTGAAGCTTGCACATCACCCCGGCCTTAAGAGTTGGAGAAAAAGCGAAGATATACTTAAATCCACAGTCCCAGGACATGACACCACTGCAAAGTTCACCTCAGAGTAAACTCATTTTGCCGTCGCCTGCAAATGTGTGGGGAAGCACTTTGCCTCTCTGGAACTGAAATTATACTCTTTTAATTGAGGAAAGTGGCACCAAGGGACTTTAGGCTGAGACCAAGTATCAGTCCACTTTAGGGGAGTGAAGGGCAGAGCAAATGAAATCATTTGCTACTGTGTGTGTGCGCCTGATATACCACTATTTGTTTGTTCCTGACAGCCTGTTTCCTGTTACACAAGCAGAGCCCAGCAAAAGGTTAAAACTCATGGGAAAGTTAGCCAGGAACCATTCTGGCAAAGAGGGCGAAGCGATACAGAGGCCTAAAAATAACAGGGCAGGACCTCCTAATTCTTTAGCACCATGACATCTGTCTACATGCAAATATAGAGTTAAGAAGATTACAAAATGAATTTTTCTTCCACACATGGAAAATTACTATGAGACAAAATACTCTCAATTTTGCCAGAATATAGTGACTTTAAAGAAAAAAAAATGTCTTTTTATTTTTTTTTGTGTACCATCAAATCAGATCTGAGCGGTACAGGAGGAGATTGTCCCTCCTTCTTCAGCAGAGCATCTGGTGGATTTGAACCATGCATCGCTGGGATTGCAGTGCAGCTTCTTGCCAGTAGGCCCCAGAGCTCACCTATAGTGACATCTTTAATTTAAAAATAAAAGTTGGGAAAAAACCCTAAAAATTCAATCATCAGGGTTTGGAAGGCATCCATAAAGCATCAATTTTTTCCATCACCAAAGCACCTCAGTAACAAAAATCTTATTAGGAAGGAGGTGACCCTCATTGCTGTTGAATTGGCCCTGACTCATACTTGATGCTCTAGTGGGTTTTCAGAGGCTATAAACTGCACAGGAGAAGGTTGTTCATCTTTCTCCAGCAGATCTGCTGGTGGATTTGAACCACCTGCCTTTAGGTTGGCAGTCCAACTCCCTATGAACTAGGTCAACACAGAATTTTGGATTAGACTTCCGGATTAGATTATGTTCAATCTCACTCCCCCCACTCCCCGGCAAATCTTCTCCAAAATGATTCACACTGGCATCGTAGGTCCTAATTTCCTAAAGAAATCTGGAATTTCACTTGGCAGGATCAGTTAGCACTATGGAATCTTTGCTTTAGTCAATACCAATAGACAATCAGAGCATGAATAAATATGGGGAAGGAGAAGTGAAGTAAATGAGAAAAGCATTATGATCTTAACAGTCCATATGTTGAAAGGGCATCTGAGAAATGGGGCCATCCTTGCAAAGCAATGACTAAGTCTTTTTTTTGTAGGGGCAGCAACACCCCATTATGAGACAGTTTCTCCAAGAACTAGGAAACAAACAAAGTCCAAATCACAGACTCCCAAATTACCTCTGCCCAAGTCAGAGATACATTATTATACCATCCCTCCTGAGAGGCCTTCAGGGTCCTTTCGAGCAATTCCTTTGACAACGATCTCAGTTTATTTTAAGACAGGCTGTTCACTGTTTGAGAGCCAAAACTGTTGGGAAGTCCCTCAATAAGGTCGTTAAAGCTATGAAACCATTTCACATCAGTCCTTAAGTACTAGTTTGCTTTTTTAAAAAAAAACAAACCACAAACCGCCTTTTTTTATTAACATAAACTTTTAATTTTATACTGGTTTACTTACAAAGTTTGTATACATTGTTTTTCACATCATTTCTTCCCCATTTCCTGTACTCACCCCTCCCTCCACCCATCAATTTGTGTAACCTTATGATTACGGCCCCCCATCCTCACCCCTGTGCCCCCCTCTTAGATCCACATACATGTTTTACTAGTTGCCTTTTAAAACAACTGAAACTAACTCTATTTCTTATGTAATACTATAATCTTTCAAAAACTTATATACCAACACTGATCATATCCCTTTTCTAGCCTATTCCAAGTGTACGCCCCTGGTTTCTCTGACAATTTTATTCATTTGTTCATTCATTCACTCAACAGACTGTATTTGAACAATCAGTATGTCCCAAGCTCTAACCCTGGTAATAAAAACAGAATGAAAACCAAGTCCCTAATACCATAAGCTCACATTCAAGACATAATGCCTACATGTAGATGTTTATCTCTAAATCTGGTGGGTGAGTGGTAAGAAACTGCACTGCAGTCCTAAAGGTAGGCAGTTCCAATCCACCAGCTGCTCCATGGAACAAGGATGGGCAATCTCCTCCTATGCAATTAACTACCTCTGAAAAGCCACTGCAGGGTCAGTTAAGAGTTGGTTCCAACGCGATAGTATTTAATAAAAACGGTGGTAGTTATATGAGTTGGTTGACTCCACAGCACCCCACACTGCTATGTGTTGTCAAATCAGTTCTGACTCCTACGACACTGTCCATCAGGTGGTAATACACAATGACCTAGATACCAGACCTAGTGCTGTCAAGTAGATTCCAACTCACAGAAACCCTCCATCAGGTTCTTGAGGCTAAATCTTTATAGGAAGAGACTGTCCATCTTTCTCCTGTAGAGCAGCTGGTAGATTTTAATTACTGACCTGTTACCCCTGCAACATATAACACATTCTGCCAACCACCAGAACTCTGTATGTTTGATGAAAAAGAAAATAAATGGTGTAAAGGGCACAGAAAAGAACTCAAGGTGGTGCAAACAGCTTGTACTCAACTGCTAACTTAAAAGCTCTCAGTTCAAACCCATCCAACAGTATCATGAAATAAAAGGTCTGGTAATTTGCTTCTTTGAAGATTATAGGCTAGAGAATCCTATGGAACATTGCTACTCTGTAACACGTGGGGTCACCATGGGGCAAAATCTACTTGACAGAAACTAACACCCACAAGAAGACACAAAAATGACTAAGGGAGCTCTGGTGGCCTAGTGGCAAGAAGCTGCACTGCAATCTCAGAGGTGTGCGGTTTGAATCCACCAGATGCTCTGCTGGAGAAGGAGGGACAATCTCTTCCTGTACCAGTCAGATCTGATTTGATGGTACACATACAAGAAATAATAAAATAAAATAAAATTTTAAAAAAAGACACAAAAATGACTGGTGGTTTTGTTAAGGTAGGATTTTCAGGGGCTGACTGAATACAAACCTAAAAGGGGCTAAGACATTCTGTGGATATCTAGAAAAAAGAGGGTTGAAGGCAAGAACAACAGCGAGGTCCAGGGACCTGGATGCTTTGGCATGGTCAAAGAAGAGCAAAGTCAACAGCATGGCTCAAGCGGACTTGATCAGGAACTGTCGCTGGGGGCTGTCTCTAGAAGATTCTGAGTCACAGTGGCCCTGTATGACAGTGCGGAACTGTTCTCTTGGCTTTTGTGGAGCTACTGGGTGAATTCGGACTGCCAGACTTTCCGTTAACAGTCGAGTGTTTAACCAATGCACCATCAGTGCTCTGTGGTCAGCAACAGAGTGGGGAAACTAGGCTGTGTTAAGGAACTTGCATTGTTTAAAAAAACCCCTGAAAATCCACTGGAAGTTTCTGAACAGAGGACCACCATCCCATGTTTTATATTTTAACAGAATCATCCTGAGTTGTAAAAATACTGCGAGAGTTGGGTGGCAGGCAGTAGTCTGCAGAGGTCTTTTTTTTTCTTGGTCTTCAAACGAGATGAAAGTAGCTTAGAAGTAGTAGTAGAGATGGTGAGAAGTGATTAGAATCCAGATATTTTTCAGAGACAGATCAGGAAGATTTTGTTGTTTGAAATTCTCTATAATACTTGGCCTGGAATAATAGGGGAAAATGGAGTTTTCACTCGCTGAGATTAAGAAGACTCAAGGAGAAAGACAGAGTCTGTGAGACTACCAGATGGAGCTGTGTTGGCAGTCTGCAGGTTCAGGGGAGAAGTCCAGGCATGAGATAGTAATCTGGGAGTCTCCCCTGTGTAGATGGTATTTAAAACCAGACGACTGAGTGAAGTTTCCAGTAAAGTGAAGTAAACAGGAAAGAACAGAAATATAGGAACTAAATCTACTGTCTATATACTGGGAAGACTCCAGAGAAATCAGAAAAGATATTTGAGGGAGTGGCTGGAGAAGCAAACCAGGAGTATTTGCAGAGCAATGAAGATAGGGTTTCAAGGATGATGAAGTAGAAAAAAACCCAAAAAAACACCAATTGCTGCTGAGATGCCAAATGAGGCAGTTTCAAAATAACTGACATTGAATTGGACAGAAGTAATTGGTGACCTTGAAAGAAACAATTTCATTGGAGTGTGTGGTGTTAAGGATTTATTGTTCAAAATGGCTTTCCTAGCCATCGCCTTTGCCTTTGCCATGTGGCTGGGCAGGAATATGTGAGCAGGGTGTGTTAGCCTACCCACCAAGGGGACAGGCTAGTCTTGTCACTAAATTGAGCAGACTGGGCAGCAGATTTGGAAGTCTTGCCACTGGCAAAGCAGAAGTAAGTATGCAGTGCATGCTCATCAGGGCCTGAGGTTATCGGGCTACTCAGACTTACAGCAGCAGCATTGATAGAAGCAGAGGACCAGAAACTCGACGTGAGAGGAAGCTAACCTTGGGATTGCTACCCTCCACCAAACCAGAGAGAAGAGCTCTGCCCAAGTTTGTTGGAGCACTAGAGGAGAAGTAGGAAGAGCCATAATTTGCTTGCTAACATTGGTCTAAAGCCAAAAGGCTCAAGACTGAGGTCCCTTGATAGAGTACATTTTGGAAGCTGTACTGAGTGATTGACTGAGTGATTGTATTCTGCTACTAACCTGAAGGATAGCCTTTTCACTTCCCTAAGATGGTTGTGTGTGGTCTGCGAGCTATTGCATGGATTTTGGACCCAGTAAAGATTGGTGTTGAGATTAATAAAAAGAGGTGTAGGAATGAGAGGGACATGTCTGACCTCATGGGAATTGGTTTTGTGCTGCTAGTGTTGTTGAAGGGGACAGTTCCCTTCTGAGAAGCTGGTAAAGGTCAAATATG